GCGTGCTATAATCAGTGCAAGGAAGCCTGCTTTGTCAGGTAACTATAGGAGGAAAGGTTGAAGCTTCCTAGCAAAACAAAAATTGTATGTTAAATTATCTGTCCAGCAGAAGAATTTACTAAAATGGTAAAAGGTGCAATCTTAAATGAGCCAAGGTGACAGATTTTTTTAACTTTACACCACACCAACTGTTAGGCTAAGACACTTCCACAATTTTTAGAATTCCATAATAATTATAGCCTACCTAATTAAAATGTAGCGAAATATTCATCATGAAATCTTTCTTCTACATTAAATCATGATTATACTAAGCTGAAAATATGTGTATTGAAGAAACTTGACCTGATATATCTAAAAATGTCTTGTATATAGTATAAATATTTTCGAAAACTAAAATATATGGTACAGGTACAATTATTTTAGTTTACTATCGTTTTAGAATATTAAATAGCTAAAAACTACCGCATTTTTAGTGGTTTTGATTTTTTCCTAGCTCATTTTATTTTAGATTAAACACAACTAAAATTAAAATTCGAATGAACTGTTGGGGGTAAAGTGCTACTGCATTTATAGAGGATTAATTTCTCTTTTCCTGAGGTTAACAAAGAAATTACACTACTAATGACTGAGAAACTACTATTTTCGTCCATTGATTCACGCGATATCTAAGATTGCTGTATCTCAAATTGAGTGGGATTTAATTGAGGGACTTTCATTCATGAAGTTTTGCAATTACATTACATATAAAAACATAAACATTTGCAATTAGTTAGGTGAACGTTGTATTCTGTACGAAATGTGTCTTCATTATCAGTAGTGGAAGCTATGCGCAAATTTTTGATCTTAGTCCTACCTCAAAAAAGATCAGTATCTACTCAACGAAACATTTATCAACATTTATACCATATGCATATTTACTGTATGCGAAAAAAGAAGGGATGCTGCATAGTCAATAATAGTTAAGTACGTACCTTATATACTATATTCCAAAATGAGTAGGGGGTTGTATGAACGTACTTATGTATGCTTGTTCAATTATTTAAAAAACATCTCCATAATTGACATATAAACTGTAGATAATATCTTTGTTCAGTTCTTTCACCTAATATATTTTCTTTAGCCTGTTTAGAATTAATTAGAACAGCTGATGATTTTAAAATTATTCATAATATTGTAAAAATAAATATTCCTCTCTGTTCTTCTTGTTAACATGGTTTACTAATTTTTTCTCTCTTAATATTTCATTAATACTCACAAACACTCAAAAATCTTAGGTTTGGGATAAAAATAATATCTATCCTAGACTCGGTTTAAGAGTAGTCTTTCGTTAAAACTATTTGATTTTTTATACATTGGCGGAGTTTTTATACAGATAATAAGCTATCACCGTAGGTCTCATGGTAAGACTTACTCCCGGGACTAAATTTTTCACCAGAGGCAAAAACACGATCCGTTTTAATTAGTGTAAAGGACCCTTTTGCACGTAGGGTTTAGAGAGAAATCCTTTGTATTGTCAGAAATAAAAAAAAACATCGATTTTACCCCATAAAACCCCGTTCCCAAGGGCTTATAATGTTGGTTCGCGATCTCGTTCGAATAAACGTAGTTTTATAACCTTTTTACATTGAGGCATTTTACAATTAAATAAAGGTATGCCTAATGGAGTAAGTTTTAAAATAATGTGCATTTAAAAATCCAATTTTATTCTTCTGGAAAAAGGATAGGGTTGTAGAGTTTGTAGTTTACTTGTTTATGAATTTATTTAGTTCAAATTTGACAAATTTATTTATTTAATACCATACTATTATTGTTTTATAATAAAATTCCTTCCTTGTATCAGCAAAACTAAGTACTAATGACCTGGAAATGAAAAATTCAAGCTTTTTATGGAAATATTAGTAAAAACCGATTAAGCATTCTATTGTATTAATATTTGTTTACACACTACTCTTTCTTTAAAAGTGTAATTTTGAGTATTCCACAAGAAGTACCTAGTATATAACACATGCATATAAATTAACAGCTTTAAGGTTGGTAGTTGGTACTACTGAGGACATCCACCTTCCCAAGGTCTGCAAGCAGTGTTGCCAGCCAATCAGCTGATTTCCTGGTAGATGCGTGTCTGCGGTTTCCACGAGACAATTTGTAGCACATGTCATTGTTTTACATATCTTGTAACACCCAACGTTTTTATTGTTAATGTCGACCTGCTGTGATAATCATAGTCGTCTGTGATTGAATCTTGATTGAATCACTCTCAATTCTAATACCCATTGAATATAAAACAAAAGTGATTCAAATATCTTCTATATATATATATATATATATATATATATATATATATATATTAATAGGCAAGCATGTTTCTTTAAAACCTTTTTCTCAGCTCGTGTACATCGAAGGGAAAATCTACTGATATTGTTAGAAAGATTTAGATTAGAAATATATTTTCCTGTAGATATGCAGAATACCATTATAATTTCAAATAGGCTCAAAATAAGCACAAACATGAATTTTAAATAAAAAAAAATTAACTTGGGCCTCATCGGTGACAAAATAACAACGAAATATAAACAGAAAATAAAAAAAAATTGAAGAAAATCCAATCACATGTTTTATTTACAGTGTGGGATGAAAATAGGGAAGTCTGTACATTACATATTTTTGGTCGAGTTTTCGGCCACTGGATTACCTTTAGTATAATTTGTATGTATAATTTGGCTAAACCCCATGGTATTAGGAAACGTTGAATTATGTAATGACGAAAACATAATAAAATATTTTATTATTTAAAGAAGAAAGAAGACTACAGTGGTTGGATGTAGATCAGTCCAATTCTTTGAGATTGTCATATATAACCAGAGAGCATAGAATACAAACTTCAAATTATTATTATTATTAATTAATTAATTATTAAATTTATTATTAAGCTTATGTTCGTTTAGTTGTTTAAAGACTCCAAAACATGGTGTTTTTAACATTTTAAACATAGGTAGTAAGGCTTGTATTCAGCAAAACTTGTATTTGTTTCAGTTTAAACAGTAAAAATGTTCCATGGTCTTTGGTATTCAAAACAAACAAACATAAGCAGATCTAAACCTCAATAGTGTAGCATATGTTTGGAAAGCTTATAAAGTGGCGCAGTTTTAAACATATTTTGCTACCTTCTTGTATACAGGGTGTAGAAAGATACAATAGACTAAAATGTTTTTTTTTTTTTTTATCGTAGACACTAGTTGTTGTCTTTTAAACTATTTACAATGAAGTTTTTAGTATTGATCCTCCATCATTTTCTATTATTCTTATTCAAAGTTTAATGTAGAATACGAAAATGACGTCATCTACTCAAATCCATTACAGGTAATTAAGAAATTGCTGTAGTGTGTTTAAAAACATGGTTGTTTTTGAAAAACTTAAAATAATTCTTTGGCTAATTTTTAGACTTGGAACCTATTATACGCATCATCACACTTCATTTAATTTGTACTTACACCAAAAAACTTTTGTAACACTGATGACCAGACACCCTATTTTAACATAGTCTTCAAAATTTTATCAAGGGGGAAATATTCAACATAGAGCCAGAGTTAAGTGATACAGCTATAAACATACTGTAACTTTTCACCATTTTAACACAAAGCAGAAGATTCTAAACAAGGTGAAATAAAACAACAATAAACGCCAGAAATTTTATTTAATCAGCCTTTCATACAACATCGCCACCCTTATAGATCAAAAGAACATTAACTATTACAAAAAAATAAAGTAACAATTCGTTAATGTAATAGTAGTTTACGCAACGATTGCGTAAAGATAGTGTTAACGACACGAGTAGAACATTTAAGGTACGAGCCTTGGAGAGTGCCTTAAAAACTTCTACGAGTGTCGTTAACACTATTTACACGAGTTGCGTACACTACTTTACCTACGACGGTGTTTTAATTACTAAAAATCACTACTCATAACTTGTAAGTGAGGTTATGTTTTTGTTTATAACCTCTAATTGCCACTGGCATTGGGAATGGGCACACGGAAGGGACTAAGGCTAAAGGTGTAGTGACGTCATATCTCTAGTGGCTAATGTCTTTTCTTGAGGCAACACGATTACCGTAACGAAACGATGTGATTTCAGCGGCGTTCGTAGCACAGTTGGTAACGTTTCGGATTGATGTTCAAGAGGACCCGGGTTCGAATCCCGCTGGCAGCACTAACTTTTTGTCAACAAATTTTTCATATCAGCAAGTTTGGTTGGTTAGGTTAGGTTATGACAGTTTAATTTTATAATACAAAATTTTTAAATTAATTTTATAATTAATTAAAAATTAGAAGTAATCATTAATTAGATTTTTCTATTATATAGTTTTTATATTATCAGCAAGTCTGGTTGGTTAGGTTATGTTATGACAGTTTAATTTTAAAAATTAAAAATTAATTTTATAATTAAAAAGTTAATTTTATAACTAAAAAGTTAATTTTATAACTAAAAATTTAAAAAAAAATAAATTTGTTCAACTTAGCAGTTCTAGCGGCGAACGCTGACACTACAGGATATGTTAGCCTTAGTCCCTCCCGTGTGTCCCACCGCTGACATTGATGCAACGAAAAATTGTATCAAATACTAATTGCACCAATCAAGAATTAAATTGGCCTGAACAGCTGATTAGTTGAATTTCGAATCATTACAATTTTGCTTCTCCTCTCTCAGTCCTTGAACCTCATTGGTCCGTTACCCGTGTTGTTATGGGAAAAACTATGCTGTTATGAATGTAAACAATGCTGTTATGAGATACTTTTCAATTCTAAAACTGTACTGAAACGGCTACTTTAAAAAACGGTCGTAGGTAAAATTAATTTTAAATCTTTAAAGATGATGAATCACTCACAAAATCGGTTCCTTGCAAGACTTTTAATGGGTTGATACATTTTAACATAAGTGAAATTGTGAAAATCGTTACATTTTTACAAATTACATTTCAAACTGAGTTCCTTCTCTATCTTGCACCAGCTGTGCGGTCCTTGTATTTTATCCGGTAAGCTCCTTCGGTGTCGTATTTCCCCTCCAGCTGTTTAAACAAATCCTGCCTCTTCTCAAACAAGTAGTGCATAACCTTATCAACAGTGGCCTTCTGTTTCGGTGTGCATTTAGCGCAGTCGTTTCCTAGAGCTTCTGGGATATTTTCTGGAAAAGAAAAACAATGTTAGAAAGTGGCCAGTTTGCCAAAAGTTTACACAAAAACAGCTGGGAAGCTGAGTAGTTGAATCACATGGTAGCTGGTTCGATCCTGAAACGTCAGTAGCATTTTGATTGTTGGAAATCGGCGCTGTTCTTGATCATTGGGGTTTCAATAAATGGTTGCTTGAACCAGCTGATCATAGTGAGTAACAAAGCTGGTATCTCATCTATTCAACACCCATCCTTCACTTAAGTCTGAAGGAAGAGTGTTGGATTTACAGCTTCACCTTAAAATACATAGCTTTGTGTGTTAGATTTGTACAAATTGAAAAAAAGCTGTAAATTTTTCAATGCTTAAAGTTTTAGTTTAAAGCAATATATTACTGTAGGAAGACTCATCTAGATGAAACATAATTTTATCACAACCATGCTTGGAAGTATTTTAGAGTGTGATTGTCATCATAGACTGGTAGAGTAACTTGTAGACTAGTTTCACTGTGTGAATTACTTTTTCAAGATATTAAGACTTGAAGCCAAAGAGTAACTATTTTTGCACATTAAATTTCTTATTAAAATAAAGATAGCCTTATATGCCTTATAGATGTATAATTGTGAGTAATTTATATATGCGCCTGAGTCTCACACTTCATCAAGATTAATCTAATTAAGATCGTAAACACAGTTTTCAACAAAATATAAAATAACTATGTAAAATAGCTAAATGTAAATTTAATTGTTAAATTTAGGAGAATAATATTCTCCTATCTATGAATTTGATATTAAGCCAGTTGGGTAGCTTAAAATTAATAAGAAAATATTTTGACTATTAACCTATAAAATATTGAATTGCACTTTTAATCTATTGAATTATTAAATGTCTTAAAACTCTTCCAAAAATAGCCACATTTCGCGCCACTACATAATGTATTACTAACGGTTAGAATAGCTTTTGTGTAGTACAATTTAAAGTGTGAAAATACATTTTATGTAGAAGATCCGAAAGCAATTTATATGAGAAATATTATAAAATTTAATTGGACTAAATAATTACTTGAATTTGTTCCACCCAGTATTTATACACCGTTTGCCGATCAGCTAAAGTACACAATCCTTGGAAACGTTTTTTGGTATATAGTACGTTATAATATATCAAATACTAACTGTTCCAATAAGATGGCTACATTCATGAAGGGTTTTCAATCATCAATACTTATAGTCAGTTTAAAAGGTGGATTTTTATTGTAAAGCCATAGAAACACAGTTATTTGTGAGTATTTTTTTTATTATTCAAGTCACCGATAAAAGTTTATAAATACAATAAACTATAATATGAATCTGCCACGTCTGTCATCAAGAAACATGTTTGATCAAAACTCAAATAGTACCAATTTCTGCCTTTGTCATAGCAGCAAATAATTGGTCAACCATGGGTTAGAGAATCTTTTCTAGGAATTTCTCTTCACCAAGGGAGTCAATCTTTCTCAGAGTATGGACAGAAGTAAGAGCCCAAGTTGGTGGCAAAGACATAAGGAGGAAGGTGCTAAAGCTCATGGATGACGGAAGACTTTAAAACATTTTATGTACCAAACAACAGATTTATGTGGATTTACTAGAAACGTTGCGACATTTACTTGACTATGTAGACTTTCCATTCCCATTCTAAATCTCTAAATAGTTTTACAACGAAGTTTTTTAATCGAGTCAACTATAGAGTAAGCAGAAACTATCTACAGATTTCTGATGAATAGACACACTTTTTTACTAAGCCTAAATATGTAAACAATAGTATATGTTATGTCACATCAATTATTGTGCCAGACACTAAAAAACATCAAGTTGTTTCAGCACATTCTGTAAATGGCTGATCCAACTATTTAAAATTTAAATAAAGGATTAGGCTAGCTACAGCTAGTCAATTTTGGTGAACTATCTTCTTCAATACTGAAAAACTTCTACTAATAATATAACTAGAAATCATCCCCATGTTAAAGCGATTGCAAGTTTCATATAAAAATTGTTGTAGTTCAAGTGAGCCATCGACAGATTGCGCTGATGTAGATAACTGATTTCTGTCGAACATGCAGACTTTTAATCAAGTCAGCCTGATAGGACGACTTTTTTTAAACCACATCTTTCATGGCAAGTCAATTTTCTCAGTAGCAAAAAGCAAGGTAAAAGATACAACTTTGGACACTAGTGCAATCTATGACTGGCTCACAGAACTTCAAATGACAGCTAGTTCAAATAGATGGGATGTTCAAATACCCAAAAGTCAACACTCATACTTACTCTTAAGTTCAGCAGCGTCCGGAGAACATTTCCCCTGGTCCATGACACACCGGAAGTACGATCTGAGAAGACGTTCGTTCTTCAATATCCGGTCCACGTCTACATTGTCCCAACGGTTGGTGTACGTCTCTTCGGCAGATGTCGAAGACATCACCACGACGGCGACCAAGAAGATCATGGACATCAGTGACATTGTCTGACAGATCTTCGTCACAGACTAAGCTAGGCTTTCACCACATGTCATACCTAATCATTCTGGCCTTAGACCTTCGTATTGACTTGCTGATCAAACTGGTTGTGTGATGTAATGCTCTATTTCTTGAGGAAAATATTGAATATTAATGGATAAAAACGATGTCCACGTGCTAGTCTTGCTAGCTTCAGTTCCAATCTTTCAACTATTTGTCTCTAGCTTCACATCAAGAATCTTAGAGTTTATTATGATTTCTTCACAAACGTTTTTGAAAGACTTCTGAGCATATGATCATTTAATTTGGGAATAAATCTGACATGTTTAAGGAAATATTTTAAAGGGTCAGATGAGATCAGGCAAATAGAAATTCGCTTAGTCTACAGATATGCTGTGTCGGGTGTATTTTAAAGTTTTTTTCTGACACATATGTTACTGAAACTAGTGAAATTGGTTGAATAAATAAAGATGATAAGAAATTACCCAAGGAAAAAATTACTTAGACATATTAGGACTACATTTTTTTGGAAATCCCTTAGAAAGGCATATGTAGTTTTTTAGGAATTCCCTTTATAGTAGTACCAGTATGTTTGATCTATGGTAGTACAAATTAAAATAAGGACCCTGTTTAGGCGATTCGATTATTCAATTTTGTTTTAAAACACTATCACGAAAATCAACAAGCCAATTCAAACATAACGCTTTCAAGGGAATAAGTTCTAATAGTAATAAAAACTCCTTAATAAAAAATCATGTAATCTGAATTGAAGAATGCCTCCTAGACGCAATCAGCCATTGAAACCCGAACAATAGACTTACTTGATTACATTACTATTATTATGTATCTATTATGTTAAAAGTAACTAACTGTAGACAGAAAAAAAACTAGTTATTCTTGTAATTATTTACAAACTGTTTTAGAGTCTTTTTAAGCTTAAAATCTGTAACACACCTGTGGACACAACTGAGTCCAAATTTTTACAAAGTTCAATTGAATCCTGCGTATTGGTTTGAAACTGATTTTAGTATTAAAATAAAAAATGTGAACACAGATTGAAAAATGTAAGGAAATAACGTACAACTTGATTAAATTGTATCTATTAGGCAATCTTTCATGGTTTAGAAAGTGGTTAAGACTACATTGACTTACAAAGGTCATGAATCTAATACCATATCATATATTGTAGTAATAGAGATTTTTAATTTCTATGGACCAGCTTTGAACACTTTTAGGTTATCCCATGTTATTTATCGATAGAGACTGTTCATGTCTACTGTTGAATGTTGAATGAATCGATGTCAACTATCAATCGATTTGTAAACTTAAACCATTCCTCCAGTACAGAGAGAAAAGAGGACAGTGTAACATATTGTCTAAAATTAGATCGAAACTTAGACATAAACTCTAAGCGTCACTGACGATGAAACAAAACATAGTAACACTCTAAGCATTGTAAATATTGGCAATTTTAAAATGTTTTTATAATCTGTGAATCTATAATATTAAAATAATTTGTTGGATTTTTTGTGTGCAGCAAATCGACACCTAAATATTTATTTTATAGGCATATTGGGATATCGTTGATTGGGTATCGATTTAAAGCTCTTGTCCTCTAGATGTGCCTTTTGCGGATTTGGATGATATCTCATGAAAGCCCTTCATCCTTTTAAAATTTCAGAGTCTTTGCTGAATTCTGTTGTCAATCATCTGAACTGTTTCAAGTTTACATTTGTTTACATCAAAACAGATGGTCATGATACAATTTTGTTTACATCCATACGAAAGTGGGGTTATCTGTACTTAGTGATGTTTCAGTGAATTCAAGTAAAATGTTGTAAAGCTATGTGTATAAAATGTAAAGAAGAAAATTACTTATGTTGGATTTTGTGTTTTCATAGTATGTTTCATTGATGTTTTAGGGAATTTAAGTAAAATATTGCAATGTTATTTTTTTATGTAAAGAAGAGATTTTGTGTTTTCATAGTATATTATTAGCATTTGTAATTTAAAATGCCTGGAAGTAATCGCGCACGCAATGCAAATAATAGGGATATGATGGGAAATAATCGTTTTCACCCTTATCCACTATGAATCAAGTATATAACGGATTTTAAAGTCACGAAGTGACGCAGGCTGCTAGAGTAGTCTGAAACAAAAGACTTTTGTTTAGCTGCTTAAAAAGGACTTTCATGACTTTATTCAGCAGACATATCCTTGCACGAAGACTGCGTCCTGTAGCCTTGGGCCAGATGACTCCCTCTGGAACAGACCTCTCCTCCGGGACCATCGACCTTCCGAGGGTCGTTACACTGTGGAATAATGTCAAACCATCTCCCATGGATCAACAAGACTTTATATGGAGTGTCGTCGAAAGAGCTATAAACTGAGGAGTGTGCTATTCCTAACTCATAAGTTTGACACTGTTAGCACATTACGAGTTCAATGCTAGCAATATCTGACCTAAAATTTCTTTTCATAAGTATTATAGCATTGACTATTGGATACTGAAGTAGACTTCCCATCTATATGGGCTGTAGCCAATTTTTTAGAACGTAGTTGTGTGAGCCAGTCACAGAATGCGCTAGTGTCTAAAGGTCTCTCACATCAACTACGAAGATTTTGATAAAAAATCTGGCTACAAATTTAACATGGGGATGGAATGTCTAAGTATGGAGTGTTACAGGTATCTCTAAGCCTGTCAATGTCCTTATAGGATAGTATGAAGATGTACCCATCAAGAAACTTAAGTTTACTTGATAGTCTTGCTCACATGGTGAATTTCCTCCGGGTTTAATGCTACTCATTCGTTTCTTGGTTGGTTGGAGAGTGTGCTTTAGAGGGTTTTGTACAAATTGGATACTCAGCAGCTTCACAAAGTTATTCTATGAACTTAGCTTGTTAAATTCGGAGACAATTAAACTTTAATCACCAACTAAATCCAAACTTTGCAATTCATGAGCGCAAAAACACCGGATCCCCGCAAATTAGGAGCTAGCGCCCTCAAGCGCTCATCCGTGTCTTCCGAGACTTCACTTTAGTTTTTTCCCGCATTAATTTCTAGTGTTAACCACGCAAGGCCACATTGCGCCACGCCGGGTATAAAACAGCTGACAACCACACAGAATACGAGAAGTTACATAGAGTAAGCAACATGTACGTGATCGTGTCAGTTGTGGTAGCTTTGGCGGCGTTGGCGGCGGCCGATGATGGGTATACTACTAAGTTCGACAATGTGGATATTGACAACATACTGCAGAATGACCGTCTTCTCAAGAACTACTTCCATTGTTTGATGGACAAGGGACCTTGCACAGCTGATGGCAAGGAGCTAAAGAGTGAGTAGAATAAAAATTTATGAAGGGTTTTTAATTTATTCAACTTTTTGATAGATTTTCATAATCACTTCTTACTGTTGTAGCATTAAGTTTTTTTTACTCCGTCTATATAGAGTCTACCTTTTTCCTTAAAAAGGGACATTGTTTGGAACCTTAAAATAGGAATACAGTATAATGGTTCTACCCAAAGTCTACAGTATTAAAAGGCTAAGAATAAAGTAATAGTGTCAGCTGGGTACTTGGCATTGTTGCTCAAATCAGCTGTTTCCAAGAATAGATTCAAACTGTTCGACTGTTCGTGAGTTTCTTCAATGGATTCCTAACTGAACTTAAAGTTAACTGTTTAAAGCTATATTTGATTTGTGATTGTTAACACTAGTTTATTCTTAAATGCAGTATTTTTTGTCGGTCTAAAGTACAATTCAATCTTCAATGGGGGGACAGTAGCTAAAAGATTTGGTGTACTCAATTTCTGTAGTGTAAATCAAAATAAATTAAGGTCATTATATAAAACCATTTGTTAGTAAACCAAACAGGGAAAATATAAAAGTGATTTGAGCACAAAATGTCCCAAATATGGCATAATTGTCCAAAAATCAAATCATTATAATCACTCAATGGTTACCTGTATACTATCGGGACACTGTTTAATAAACATTTATATTCGTTAGACACCCTGTGTTTTCATGCTATTAGTTATTACTTATGATAAACCATATTTCTTGTTTTAATCTTAACTTAAAGGCATGCAAAATCCCCACATTTTAACATTTTATAAACTTTTTCAACCCAAACTAAAACTTTTAAAAGCTCGAAAACCCAATAAAGTGTAATAGTAACTAGGAAGTTTTGTCCAATCGCCCGTATTCGTAATGATGATAATTAATGATTCGTAATGACTAACGAGTAATTCGTACTATTTCTGATTTGGGTCTCCTAAAATTTAAAAGGATATTTGGAAATTAGTTTTCCCCAAAAGTGTTTAAATGTTCCAAATATTAGCTTGTGTTTTTCTGGGCACATTTTATCTTATTGATTTCAGCCATCATTTTCAAATTATGATTATTCAAAGGAGCATTACAAACTTTATTTTAAATATAAAATTATATCGATTACGGTAAAATATTATATCGTTGGTTGTTTTTAAAGTTAGTTATTGTTTGTAAATATTGTTGACTTACAGTAATTTGTTACGATATTTGTACTATAATGGTGTTGAGTACTTCACAATAGTCATTTTTAAATCTGATGTAATAGACAAGTATACATTTTTTATTTGGTCTACGTATTCTTTGCGTGAATGATTTTTATGGTATCGAAGTATTCGTTTAGAGATGAAACAAAAAATATCGCAGTTTTGCAATTTTGCAAACTGAACTAACATTAACCGAATTAAACTATACTTGTTCAGTTGCATATAAAACAAATAGACGATGGATGAAAAGATTTATATTTTATACAGATCAGATAGCTTAGGTTATCTTAATAGTATAAACTATCAATATCTGCCACTAAGCTCACAGCTTAATATCGAAATAAAATTCCAACTGGTAAATTGTGTTATTTGTGTTACTGTAACCTTCACAAGACAATTTAAGGACTCTAAGTCTATAAGCACTCTATGGAAATAATTGTACTAGTATTCTAAAAGATTGTAAAAGATGAGACCCTTTGAATGGCCACCTAAAATTTCAAATTACTATCTTAGTATCTTTAGTTGAAAAAAATATTAAACTTTTGGAGAAGAATCAATATTAGACTATTTAAATTATCTGTATAGACAAACTCTCTTTAAATAAAAAAAATCTTACGGTATTTGACCTTGTTTGGTTGGTGCGTGGTTGGTGCATATGGTTAACCTTCTAAAAAAAAGTACGGATACCTTAAAAAAATCCAAAAAAGCTATCGCGTACAGGTAAATAGCAATCAGTCCAACTTTTATACAATATAAATTAGCTTTTCATCAGAATACTCGCCAAAAGACACTTCACCATAAAATGACCATGATTGCAGAGAACCTACCAGAAGCATTGGAGAATGAATGTGCAAAGTGTTCAGAGAAGCAGAGTGTCAACGCCGAGAAGGTTCTGAAGTTCATATACGAGAAGAAGCAAGACATGTTCAAGGAGCTGGAGGCTAAATACGACCCAGACAACAAGTACAGGTAATTAAAAAAATATTGTTGTATCACTAATTGATAAATTTGCTAAAAATAAAAAAGTTTATTAACATGTGCGTATCAAGAAAATAAATAATACAAACGATTTCAGAATTTTTAGAATTTGTAATCGTCGTAATGTCCTAAATCAAATAGTTTGGTTATTACAAGTTATTCAATCACACATTTAATTCTTAAAATGTTTTTTTGTATAATGATATACAACAATAGTTCTTTAATATATAAAATATTAGAAACAAGGTGATAAATATACATTTTCCTTAAAACCCGTTTGAGTTCCAAAATAAATCCGTAAATAATTAAACTAACGATATGGGAAAAAATAAAAATTTAAATAGAAAAAGGACCAAAACTAAAATTAAAATAAATATAAAAACGCAACTGAATAAAACAATCTTTTATATAAGCTTAAAAACGTACATTGAAAACCTATTGTTTAGTAAACGTTAGTTTGCAAAATTTCACCATGATATTATCCTTTTGATGAACTATAAAAACCCCTTGACAATTTATAGCAAAGAATACAGCAATAGCAATTTCTCAGTAAGATTTATTAAAACCATAGATCGTTTTCGTTGTTATTTTGTCACCAGCATGGCAACCCATAAGACCCATGTCAATCTTTTTCAAATTTAAAATTCATTTTTTTGTGCTTATTTTAACCTATTTTAATTTATAAAGGCATTCTGCACATCTACAGGAAAATATCTTTCTAACATGATGGGTAGATTTTCTCTGTGATGCACACGGCTGAGAAAAAAGTTTTTAAAGAAACATGCTTGCCTATTAATATATAGATACTAGTACTTCAACTTATGATATACATGGACAATTCTATGACATCACAAATCCCATGTTATATCGGTTTTGGATGAAGGTTTTATACTTGTGTAAAATACTGAATTGGCTGTGAGAAACCAAATAAAAGTCAAATTCTTTTACGAGGGCAATTAGATCAGGTGTTATACTAGACTCATCAATTGTGTAAAGAGCTGCTGAAACTTGTGCCTGGCTATGCTAAACTAAAGTTACTTACACAATAAAAAATCAAATAATTTTTAATTTCAGGATGAAGTACAAGAAGAGGATTGAGGCCGCTGGTGTCAAGGTTTAATTTCGACTTCTTCGCCAAAATATTGTGAAACAACAATGAACAAAAAGCCAAATATTTTCTGTGACGTCACTGTAAAACTTTTCTAAAACCAAATAAAGCTGCTTCATACCTAAACCCGAGTGACTTTTAATATTCTTAATGCTTGATGCTTAATTTCTAATATGAATCAAGTTGAAAAAATGTGGCTTGAACTGAAGTCTAAATTTTAAAATATCTATCTTAAAATAGTGTAGTGCTTTGCAGTCTTACTTATTTATTTGTCTATGAAAGAACTGTTTGATAACCATTTTGTAAATGTTGTGTTTTGAATATTTTTGGTATAAAAAGAAAAACGCTAATCCAAGATGTAATATGTTAACACTGTAAATGTACACATTCTTAAAAAAAAAGAAAGGTCAATTATATCAATAACAATAAACCTTATAAATTAGTTTACTGATCAATTCCAGCCACAAAGATAATTTGTAAATCTTAAAATCATGAAGAGTTATTTTTATCTGCTACCCGTATGGTTTTCTGACCAAGAAAATAAGTTTAATATTGGTTGACTTTTATTGTTTGAAACAGCCATAAAATATAATTAAAGCTTTATAAATTACAAGGGTAAATAAACTCAAATGCAAGGCACTAGGCTCTGAATTGGTGCTGACACCTTTCCGATAAGTAGGCCTACAATTTAGCTTAAATTGGTTGAACTTCACTTCCTTAATTATAATGTGTTTCTTAATAGTTGGATTGCTGAGTGAATTAAATAACCTAGTAATATTAGGTAAATATAGTAATAAACCTAGTGGTCGAAAGTTTGCCAGCGGCCCTTAGAGAAGTCAGAAGTTTTGTTATTGTTCAAAACTGGACCCAGCTGTCCTTAATCATTGGGCCTTTAGAAGATCGTTCTGTAATGAAACAGCTGCTTTGGTCAGTACAGCTACGATCACATTCAACAGCCATTCTTCACACATCCTAACCTCAAAATATGCATCTTGATTTGTTGTGTCGTAGAAAACTATCCTAGTAGAATCCATTCAATTCCTAATGATTTGAAGTTGTACGACTGAGTAGTATGGTTGATATATTATTATTTATACTGGCTATTGGACTACAACTCATTCGGCAAGGGCAAGACTTCTGGACTTGATTTGGCTAATTAAACTTTTCCAATGTCCAAGATACTACAAAATTCTATCCGATAGCACTGAATTACAAGAAATATGAAGGGTTGATTCGATTCTATAAAACTTCAAATACAAAGTGATATTTAGTTGTAAAATAAAGTTAAACTAGTCACAGAAAACCTCTTTGAATTGTAAATAAATTGGAACATAGTGTTCATGACTTTTCGTCAAATCTGCAATTTCTTAGTAACTTTTTCTAACATAGGTCTCTTTTGCCTTATCATATATACCGAGATTCATGGAGATAAATTGGAATTCAAAGATGAAAATGATAACGTACAAAATACGAAATAGCGGATGTCTGGGAGTTTGGCTGTTTACTTAGAACACCCTATATGTCTGTATGATCACCCTCAAAAGCAGTGAATGAAAGTATCTTGATTAAATGTGTAGCTTCACAAAAGTTGCGATTTAATCCGCTTATTACGGTACCTTTAAGGAGGTTGATTAGCTTTCCTTTTAAACCCATCCTCATTTGAAATAAATCGATTTAGTTGCTTTATGGACCTAATTGAAACAGTTATGGTTTGGAATAAATACAGCTCATCCAACTCATATGCTTGCACTAGCAATAAAGTAAGAACAATAAGTGCTGATCTACAAAGAAACAATTTGAACATTCTCATGTAAGATTAGTGTGTCCCAAGTAAGTGCCAAAATATATTTTACTTACATTGTAAGATTGAAAAATCTAATTTGATACTGTATTTATTTTTATGACAAAATCAATTGGTCAATGGAACCAATTCAATTACAAAACAATTACAAAATTGATTGGTCAATTGGTGTAATTGTGGGGTTAATTGCAAAACAAACAATTTATAATTTAAGAGGATGTGTTGTACACTTTTTTACTTCTGGCAAATTTATTCAAAGAAGATCAACAATTTACAGTATCAAGTAATCCATGTTGGAAGCCCAACTCAGCCACTGTTATTTTAATTGAATATATTATTGCAGCTAACGAAAAAATCAGAACCAATGGTTCTGACCAGAAAACAAAAAATAACATTTTAATTTCAATATTGTCTAATGTTACATTTTCAACGTCTATATCCACAATGTCATTTGAGATACGTCTACGAACACTATGCAATCCCCTTAAAATAAGGAAAATAGTTTTAAGTGAACAAACAGTATTATCAACGGATTAAAACACAGTCAATTATTGGTTTTATTTACAACTTTTGCATATACAATTTACACTCTTACTCCAGCCGCTTCGATTCTCTTCTTGTACTTTGCTCTGTATTTGCCGTCGGGGTCGAATTTGCTCTCCAGCTCCTGAAACATATTTAAACATGTTGAATTGTATACAACACTCAGGAAGAACTAAAACATCACCCAAATTGGGTTTACAAGAACTGATTTCCAACACTTTCTAACACTTGTATTTTCCCACTTGGGCCTACTGTATGTGTATGTTTAGGTTGGATTTGAAATGTTTTAGAGCATCTTAAAGCAGCAAGTTGAGATAAAGTGGGCGTGCAGTAGTGAGCCGTATGTTTGATTTTAACACTATACCAAAACTTTTTAAAATCAAAGCTACCGGTAGTGAATGATTTAAATGTTTTTATTCGAAAATGCAGCCTAACTCAAGGTTAGGATATACAATCATATCTCTCAAGGAGTAGGGAACTTTACAGGTTGGCTTGTAACAAATTCCGAACAGCCTTAAGACTGTCCTCTAAAACTGGAGTAAAATATCTTAATAAACTCCCTGAAGAGATAAGAGAACAGAGATATGAAAAAAGATTCAAGTCACTTCTCAAACTGTTTTTGGTTGCTTATTTGAGACGGATGCCATGCAATATGTTAAATTGTATTGGGGAATAAATATATTATTATTATTGTTACAAACATGATCAAACTATGAAGGTTTAGCAACTTGGAATGTTAAACAATGACAGAAACAGAACAACAGGGGGGTTGCAGGGGGGGGGTAAATACAGAAGAGGACAGTTTTATAGTTAAAAGATGATTCATTAAGCTTTCTTTGGAGTATGAGTAAAAGGGTTTTCTTATATTCCAACCTGATTTGTTCGTACATTGGCCGGGCCCGCCTTGGTAATGTTAATGTATAGAAAATATACGGATCGTGATAGTATATGAAACTGTTATTTACCAGATTACTTTAGCTAACCTGGCCAAACATAAAGAATAAAAAATGTGGGGTTAAGATAACAGCGAACTATATTGAAAATTAACTCTGATTATCCTAAAATATGTGTATCTAACGTACGCCACTTTATACGACTTAAGCTGGTGATTTTTACAATACTACATCAAACAATCTAAATGAAATAGCTTTGAAATAAGAAATTAATTCGTCAAATTTACAGTTTCAAAACCAAAAATAATTCAACGAGTCAGGGAAGTAAACAAACCTTAAACATCTGTGGTTTCTTCTCGTACAAAAACTTCAGCACCTTCTCAGCCCCTTGTTTCTGTTTTTCTGAACACTTTGCGCACTCGCTGTCCAGAGCCTCGGGAAGGTTTTCTAAAATAGCAGTTAAAGTTAGCCTCCAGGTTATCAGTCTAGAGTCTAGACATTACTATAGAATTAAACAATAATACTAGCTATTCTATGCTTCGCTACGGAAAGAGAACGTGGAAGAGAAGATTGGGTAGCTATATATTGTATGAAATAGTTACACAACCACGATATCCAATAATTGGTACAAAAATTTGTTTAAAGGTAATTCGTTAATAATAATTCCTACAACAATCCATCTAATCCAAGATAGGGGTTGAAATTTACTGCAATATAAGACTCCGTTCACAAAATTAAGGCGGTTTGAAGACAAGATTCCATCACCTCCACCTCCTCGTAGCTTTGAAACTACAGCAGACAGCTGATCAGCTGATAAACTAAAAAACCTGGTGAGAGAACCCAGGAGACCTTCCTCTAAACCATCTAAATTTTGTGAGTGGTCTACATATAGCATGTAGCATGTTAGCATGTAGGGTAAGTGGAGCTGAAAATACTGTAACTGTATAACTTAGTTTGAAAAAAATACTCCTACTTTGAGGTTTTTCCTTTTAAAACCCCCTTTTACATATTAAGTCAATATATACAAATCAACCAACAATAATTGACCTAGATTATATTTGTACATATTTAGCCTCTAGATCACTTTTTCACATACCTGTTGTACTGTTAATGATCTGTTTTTCGTCTAACGGCCAACGAAAGGTTTATTATGACTACTCTCTCATCCATATGTTCTCTGTATCATATTCTGTTTCCTTCTCTTGGATCATATAACCATAGACTATGTATTATCTACGATACAGCTATTTATTATATTTTATAATTTTCCTCTTAACCTACAACTCTACATCGCATAAGTCCATACCTATTTCTATCCCAATTTACTTATTTTATCTCCTTTATACTACACCATCGTTCCTCCCCAATCTTTATTGCTAGTATTTATTCAGTCTGGAAATGGTTTACACATAATTCATGCTATACATGAAGGGTTTAAGCATCATCACATAGCATCATATTTCATAAGTGACCATTTTCTTCTTCACTACCCTCTACTTCCTCAGCCTATACTTCCTAACTACCCACTACTCCCTACCCTTTACTCACTCTTCAGTTCCTGTGCGTCGGGCGTGCACGGCCCCTTGTCCATGATGCAGTTGTGGTAGTTCCTCAGCAGACGGTTGTTCCTCAGCACGTTGTCCAGGTCGACGTCGTCATACTTTGTCGTGTACTGGTCGTCGGCCGCGACCACGGCCAACCCACAGACGACTAACACTGCTAAGTACATTGTCATCACTTGCACGTAGGTTAGACTGGTCTTGTTATATAGTGTGGACTGTCGCAATCGGCCTTGCTCGCTTATTGCAATTATTGATGACAAACCAGCATTTTTCTCTGAGTTCTTTTAAATAATTGTCAATTCTTGGAAGATTTGTTCGCATCTTGGAGCCGATGAAGAAAATTTTGATTGTAGTGTTTAGAATCATTTACATATTGGAAAGACATAAGGTGTTTTATTGTTATATGACGTCGAACTTTGATGTAATTTTGTTGAATGACTTTTCGTGATTAGGGAGATTTTGAATGTCACTTTTAAGGGGTGTTGGATAACGGTTATGTGTAGGAAATATGTTCAGTATGGTGATGAATGTATTAGTTGAACCATGCTCAACATTTTGCTACAGTTAATTTATGGGGAACTATCTAGTCTAGCGGTATAGCACGATCATTAGGTTCCCGAGGTCCCGGGTTCAAATTCCGACAATCACCGATGATAAATCGGCTACTCTCTAAGCATAGCTTGAAGAAATTAATAAATCGAGTCCGGGATAGAGCAAAGCGTCCTAGGATGTGAAGGTGAGACAAAAATAGACAATTTGTAGTAATCACTGTTGTATGCCTAGTAGTGCTACCCAAATTAGTAAATTACCAACTAATGCTGTATATCTGTGTATGATCTCGTATAGCTCATTTTAGTTAAATTTAATGATGCGAGTGAAATATTTTTTTCTTGTCAAATTCTTTATACATAAACTGGACTAATCTTTGGTCATTGATAAAATTTGATTTTTTTTCAACGGCAACCTTAATATAGTCATGCGTTTGATATATTCAATTTGATTATACAGTAGTTTTAAATGTTCTTTCTTGGTGAAATTAACTTAATATTCGCAATAAACTATCTAATCGAATCTATAAATTTTTTTTTAGTTTTGTAAAATATACGAATTTCTTGTTATCTGGTTCAGGAATTACCACATACTTAACACCATAATCATTTCGAGCGCCACAACATTTAAATATACCATTACGTCACCACTTGAATGTTTATCGGGTCTAACCAACCATAGCACAATGCTACCATGATCGTGACGAAAACGTTTTGAAATTTCGGAGAAATAACTTTATCACCAAACAAATCCCACTTATCACCATGGCAAATTACGGGTATCACTGCAAATCTATCATACCACTTATTTGCATGTCGACTTGCCAATAAAACTCCGCCAGTTTGAAATATCTAGTTAAATGAATATACTCAAACTCTAAACAATTTCGGCACACATTTAAATGTAATTACACTTCACTCATTGTTTCTAACCAACCAGCTATTGTATCAATCTTTTCACTTCGGAGAAGTAACTTTGTTTTTGATCCTTCAAGACAAACTTATCACGGAAAATTACAAGTCATCTCTGACAAATAAATCTGTTCATAATTTGCATTTACAAACTTGATCCTGCAACCGGTCTTCGAGGTCGCTAACCGTTTTATCCTGCTTAACTCTCCAGAGTCGTCGAGTCCTTTGACCACCATGCATCCCAGCCTCCTTGTGGTCCTGGTATGTCTACCCGCGGTTCTTCTTCTTCCCGCCTCCACCTACACGACAAGGTTTGACAACGTCAACATCGACCAGATACTGAAGAATGACCGACTTCTCAGGAACTACTTCAACTGTCTCATGGACCGTGGGAAGTGTACGCCTGAGGGGGAGGAACTTAAGAGTGAGTTTTGTTAAACTTTACTTACATTATCCTACGGTGGATATCTAAATATATTTGGCAGAACCAACAAAGTCCTTTCATCTCTCTATCTTCTGCATCTTTCTCTGACGCTCTTATCCACTCTATATCTCCATTTGCTTTTTTCCACCATTTTTTTTTTTTTGAGGTTCCTTCTTGGCTTTCAGGGTTCCTCATTACTTCTTGTTTTAAATTATTTTCTTATCCTTCTCTAAACGTGCCTAGTCATCTAAGAAATACATTTATTTACATTTACAAACTACATCCGGATGTTATACAACTCATTCCCTATTGTGTCTTTTCCTCTACTCTCCTGCTTAAAAAATTATATAATTTTGCTTAATAAGGTTTTTCTAAGGACTTAGATTTCTAATTTGATACATTTTCTTTTTTGTTTGTTTAGTTTCCATGTTTCGGGTCCATAGAGTGGTATTGGAGATATGAAGTAAGACAGAGTAGAGATAAGATAATAAAGATATAAAGTAGTAAATAAAGCACAACTGAGCACCCTGAAATAATTATTATGTTTAGTTTTTAGAAGTGACATGTTTTAAACATGAGACCATTTTCAAATTAAAAATTGAAATCGTATAGTTTACTTAAACACTGCCTGTCATACCTTAGAATTGAAGTCGTAATTTTTCTTGAAAACATGTTTTATTTGCAATGATGGGTGAAAATCTGTACAATACATATTTTAGTCGAGTTTTTGACCACTGGCAACCTTTACTCAACCTGTGTTTACATTGTTTGTTTTGTGTAAATATCATTTGAATTATACAGATGATTTATAAGGTTGGACAGGATTTGGAAAATTTGTTGCGGCTTACTGATTATTTAATTGTAAAATTTTGTATTTCATAGATGTTCTGTTCAGTAATTTTAGGTACAAATAACCCTCTACCTGGAAATAATTCGTTAAGTGGTGAAACTTTGCACATATAAAGAAAGTCCTGTCCAATGTAGAATTTTTCACAAACAGAGCAGTTAATTTTTTATATGCCAGATTTGTCGTAGATATCTTGATGTTCTTTATTTACGGTATTGTTCGTTATCATATTGAAAGCGTTATTTTTTTAAAGCCAATTTTGTATTCAACATGTTGAAAATAATTTCTTGTTGTTCTGTTGATCGGTTTACTAATGCATTTTTCTTTTTTCATTGTTGTGTTCTTGATTTAGATTTTAATAAATTTTAGTTCTATTATATTTTAGTAATTTATAGTGTAGGTCATGGTATAAGTAAATACTGCTGTTGGTTTATTTAGTGTGTTTTTACGCCAGTGGTATTATTTACTTGTTAAAAGGGAACGGTCCAAACCCTGGTCTTGTTACCTAACGTCAACCTTGTTGTTAGATAGCATCATTAATTCATAGCCCAATGACAAATAATGACATCTATGTCTGGAAACGATCTAGCATGGTTTTGAACCAGCGACCTTCAGATTAAAAGGTGAGAACTACAACTACTCGGCTACCCAAATAATTACCGGGATTGAACTAAGCCAATTGTTTATACAAAAACTATATTCATTACAAATATATCTTTATACTTTTCAGAGGCAGTCCCTGATGCACTGAAGACGGCGTGCGCGAAGTGTACCCCTAAACAGAAAGAAGGAACCGAGAAGGTGACCAGGTTCCTGATCTCCAAGAGACCTAATCTTTACCAGGAGCTGGAGAAGAAGTATGATCCTCAGGGGGTGTATCGTCAGAGATATCGGGCCGAGGCAGCACAACATGGCATCAAGGTTTGAGCGAATCAAATGAACAATTCATAAAGAACAGTTCTTCAATTCTTCATTTCAACATCCGCGTATACAGTTTTATGCAAGAACTTATGATTTTGATTAAGATCTAATTATGATTTGAACAATTTATTTAGGAAGTAGTTCTTGAACTTTTTTATTAACGGTTGTGATGAGTTAATGAACGATTCAGAAGAAAACATCGCTGAAGATTTTGTGAACAAGAACATTAGTCAATTTAATAAATTAAGAATATGTTGTTTCTTCTATATTTGTTATCGAGACATTTTCCCTATGTACAACTATTAAAAGGGTTTTCTAACAACATTAATAAGTTAATAATTTTCTCTTTAGAACATTTTAGTGATTAAATGTGGTGTCCATACAATTCTTTATTGTATCCTTTTCACTTATAAAATGCCAAAATAAAGTAATTTTAATCACTTATTTGTGTTTATTTTCTGCATAGCAAATACACTTCATAACTACATCCACTATTCATTATTGCCGATTTTTTAGTTTAATGAAAATATGGACAATTAAATACACACATAAATAAATACATAATGTAAGATATTTTATTTTGAACATTTACTTAAGACCGTTGATTTTTTTTAACAAGGACCATATATTTAAAACCCAATGATAAAAGGTAGCTGAGACCAGCATCTCGAACCATAAACATTTACTGACTTTTCTCATGCTCGAACCTGCAGCCCTATGTCTATAAGGTGAGCACTTTGTTCCCTAAGTTGTCCCAGCACATATGATGAGCTATGTTTTCAACTGAGGTATTGTTTTTCAAATCCATACGGAAGAGCAATTTGTCTTAGCCATGTGTGTCGCGCCAAATATGGCCAGTGGCACTGAACGTCCTTGAGAAAAAGATGAACGAGGAACCAGGAGCAGCCAAGGTCACTCGGATTCCAACAGCTGATTGTCAAGTGTAAAACATCTAGTAATTGCCTTTGAGTGTGATAATTGTCATCGTCAGAGACAATAACACGTGGGCATTCTTTGTCTGGAACAATTAGTAAAGCTCTTCTAAAGAGCTCAGCAGAAAGATAAGTAAAAGTCAGTAGCTTTTTGGTGGATCAAAATAAAATTGGACCCAGCTGTTCTTGATAAGTGTTTGCAATTAGTGTATTTTGTTCATTCCATCTATTTTTGCTTGGGTCTAAACCAGTGGCGTTTTTATAATTAGGTAAATTAATGCAAACACTTTTAGGGGAAAGCGGTCCAAACTCATTAAAGTTTAGTGGATGTGCCGGGAATTGAACCCGTCCCTCCTGCACTGAAGTCCGAGACGCTAACCACTAGGGTAGCAACACACCTCAGTCCTAAAACTCAGTTTCAACATCAAATATATTCTTCAAAAACTAATAATGACATGCCAGTGTAGTATAAATGGTCGTGCATTAATTGCGCCAAGCCCTCAAAGGGTCCCGAAAAATGTTCCTTGGTTGCGCCAAGCCCAAGCCAGGTAGGGGTGAGTTGCCAGCAGCCAGCAAGGGTAGACCCGTACTGCGCCAGGTCTAAATAATCCCTCTTCAGCAAACGCTCGTACTGCGCCAGCACTAGTCCAGGTAGGCGAGGGGGCGCCTTCTGGTTAACCCACACCCTTACCATCATTGGTATTGCGAATGTAAACAAACATCACAGCTTTCGTTATTTCACCTAGGTCAACACCCCTTGTCGCTAATTTAACAAATCTTGCTCTTTACCTCAGTGCCATTGAGGAATCATAATTAGATACATGTTTAGCAATCAACGGTGCTTTGGAAAATGAAAAAAGTACAAGAAAGAAAGCCACGCTTCTTCGACAACAGTTTGTCAAAACAAAAATTAATCAATTAAGAGCCGGTGACTTGGACCTACTTTGTTTCTTGAAGTGTGTTGCTATCAATTTTGCACCCATTTAGGCCTAAACAAAAACATTACTTTTTTGCTACACTACTGTGAAATGGCCTTTACACCATATACAGAAGCAGGTACTTTTCCATCGGTACTTTTCTTAAGACTATTCTCCATTTTTAGGCGTTTCCGTGATAGCAAGTAATAATATCGGTCGTTTCTGTCATCACAGAAAATTGTCACGGATGTTACGCACGCATTTGCTTCTCATTTTACCACTTTAGCTAGTGGGATGGTGCTCAGAATGTTTACTTAACTAATTTGCTTTAGTTGAACGCTAAATTAATTATTTTACCATGGAAAGCGTGACATTATATCGCAATTGAAATTTTGAAAGGTTTTCTATTAATACGGTAGCAAAAAATACTAAATTACTAATAATTCATCAACTTAAATGTGTCTTCGAATCATTGTTGTATCTTTGTTTATCGCTTTTACCATAGTTTTTCATACAACTGATTAATTTTTGTTACCATGGATATTGAAAACTGCATTTATATTAATTCAATCAATGCACGCAGTAATTTCAACGAAACATAGTTTAATAAAAATATGCCTATATAAGTAACTTCTTTGTATAAACAAGTGGATCTGTCATCTCCTAAGAAGATTGTTCAACCCGGAAGACATGGGATCTGACCTCTCAACGTTCAAGAGTAAGAGATTGTCACGTCACGTCAAATATTTGGATATACACGGCTACGTTGTACTATTTGATTGAGTAAGTACACGTCTATGGAGTGTTAATATAAGAGCAATAGCCTACATATAAATAGAATGTAATTGTTCAATTAATGTTAATAGGACTAAATCTAAAGCAATACAAATCGCTCGAAATGTATAGAGTAATTTGTAGTTTTAAATACAAACTTAGCACACAACATTTACAGAAGGAAGTAAAACGTTAGGAAGCAATACATTATTTTGAGACTTTGAAGTTGGACGACTAAGATATCAATTTGGTAAATTTGATGCGTAATAATAACGTAATCTATTTGATTAGTAATATCAATAAGGTCGTAACACTGTGTTGGGCATCACCCTACACTAGATCCAAACATCTACAGTATCTAGAAAACAAAACAAGGATAGACATATTAGACGATAAGTTATTCCTAGATATTGGATACTTAAGTCCCTCCATTATGATTATGTTGATTAAATTAAATAAAATATTTTGTTATCCAATTTGTAAACTCAAATCTCTCTGGATTTTGAAATTTGGATTACTTTACCACGTCGTATTGTCATCAGATTTCATGTTAAATATTATCCTTTTTTTAAATTGAGAGAAAATTTCCGGTTAAACGTTTGCATTATAGAAATAACTTAGTTCTAAGTTATTGTCAAAGGATATCTCATTGAGACATAAGAGGTCGACTAATGTGTGTGATGTGTTTACTTCCGAATCTTTCATATTACCTTCAGTTGTAATATGTTACGAGTTGGGGAAATTATGCTTTATAAATGTAAACTGTGACTTCTAAAGGAAATATTGTTGAAAAAGATTACTAAATTTAAATGCTAAAATAAACGTCAGAAACTAAAATAAAATATGATTTGTCTCAGATTTAACGCAGGAGTGGGATTGGACTAGAGACTGGAGGAGACAGTATACACGTACGGTATATTATGTTATTTTCTCTAAATTATCATTATGAATTTTAAGCCGCTCCTCGAGTCGAGTCACAGCTTGTCAGACAATATAGTTTAGTGTGATACCACTACACACCAATGAATGGACACAGCAATGTTATCCATACTCTCATATGGATGTATTAATTCACTTACATCCCTGCGAGAGGCAAATGCAATTACTTACATTTTATGTATTTTAGTAAAAAAAACTTCTTACGAGTTTAATAAATATAATAGTAAAAAGTTAAGTAGCTTTTAAAATTTATATAAACGATAGCAGAAGTTTGTTTAAATTGTATAACTTGTATAAAACAGTGCTCTCACAATGCAAAATATTGCTTTGTTTACATTGGGCCTGCAATAGTTCAGGGGTTTACCACCAGATGGCATTGGGGTATATCTCTGGCGGCTAGTTTAGGAATTAGCCACCCTTACAAATTACCATCTAAAGATTGATGTGGTCAATAAGGGTTCAATTAATATGCATTAGCTTAAAACTGACAGAAACGAAGATATATATATATATTTATAGAAATATGAAATGAAACATTTTCTCAATTTGAGTAAACCCTAATACACTTTTATTATTTCATGTTTGTGTACGTATGTTGAGAGTTGCTAAGAATATTCACACCAAAACTGCAGCTTCGATGGAAGTGTTGAAAACTTGACTAATGATGTAAATTTGAAAGCAACACATTTCTGAACTGAACCTTAGGTGAGTTACATTAACTTTAATCCTCAATTTTATTACAGATAATACTTATATAATTATTGTATTAAATGAATTAACATTCACACAACTTTCAGAAGTCAAATTTTACCTCCTTCCATAACCATTCATGCGTAGCCTAAAAATACAATATTGAATGTTATCACAGCCAATAGACCATTGGACTATGCCATAATAGTCTGTGATGTTTTATATATTTACAGCATTTATATTAAGTTTACATTAGACCTGCATTTCAGCAGTTAAAATTGTAACAATTGTGTTTCGTATTTTAATAATGCTATTTTCAAACGCCTTCCAGTAAGCATGTTAATAACACTTGAGTTGCTTTTCTATCGTAAATCTAAACTTTACAACACATATTTAACACGACAAATGCAACAAAATGTTTAATAGTGGTGGTACGATTGGCGTTTCATGAACAAACAGAACAGGCAAACAATCACAAATTTTACAATTAGAACTACTGACAGGTTCTGTAAATCCATATAAGTTTAATTCTTAATATTTCAAAGCGCAGTAGCATTGAAATTATATTATCCTACATAAAGTCTGTCCCCAGTGAAAACTGTGTTAATTTAGAAGATTAAACAGTAGATAGCTACTTGGGTACCGCTAACTTCTTACTGTGTAAATGATTTTCCCAAGGGGCTTTGTAATCGGACATTGCAGTTCTATTGAATGATCCTCAATTTCAACGGAAACACCTAAATGAACCAGAGAAGAAATATTTCTTGAGCCATCACAGTCACTAGGTGGGTCGACAACTGGGCCTGTACATACAACGGATTGTTGGGAATGAAATGAAAGGTTTGCCAAACTATACATGGTGTGTATAGCGTCTAGAGAAAGCTTCTTTCAAGAACTTTGAAAATCCTAGAACCTTATGAAAAATTCAAGTTGAACATTAATTTGTATTCGAAAAATGAAATATATGCGTTTCAATATAGTATCGAGGTATTGTTTTAGTCTAGCACAAAACAAATAGTATACTCTTGGAATAAAATTCGCATTATCAAATTAAATTGAATCAAACCGACAACCTAATATCAGCCTGAGAGTGTACTGCTGTCCATAATTTGATTTGTGTCATTTTAACTGCAGTACTTTTTAACCTAGCCAATTCAGGAAAACATGTTGGAACTATAACTTCTTGTCAATGTCATCACCATAGTATAGAAAACTCAAGAGACAATAATATAATTTGTACTGTGCTCTCTGAATTTTTGTATTCGTTTCGGTATATAAAAAGTAATTATTCCAATGAAAACTTCACATTTGTTTTCTAATTGACAATTCAAAACCAGCAACGTAAGCATTTCCATCCATTATTTCCATTATTTTGTAATACAATAAGTGAATAACAACATCTTCTTGATTTAATCACAAGATGCGTTTAAAACTAAAGACGTTGTCGTCACGACGTTAAGGACAATTTTTTGTAAAGAGATTAATACAAATGTGAAATAAGGAGGTGGATTTGGAATAAATTGAGAGGCAAAACATACACACAGCTACGCGGTACCATGATAACTGCACACTTGTGAACAAATATAGAAAAGTAAAATATTCTTTACTGGTAAGGACCTAGTGCTCAAGAGAGTATATATGAGGGTTCTCCTATCTTGCCTGAATTTAACATGTAATTATTATAAGTAGACTTTCGGTCATTTGTGTCTTATTTACGCCGGGGGCATTTTTTATGCAATAACTAAAAGAATAAAGAATGCATAGAAGGGGAAATGGTTCAATCCTAAGGTTTGTTGTGGCATTAGTCAAATTTTACCATTTTTTTTATTTTGAAGTTGAGTAAGACTAGTTGAGTATTAGGCCAGTTGCTAGTAAATTTTCGAAAAATCTGATCCATCAGACAAAAAAGCTGGATAAAATTAAGCTATTTATTGAATAGTTTAAACGCTTAGATATGTTGCGAAATTAACGGAAAAAATATTTCCCTACTGATTTGTTTAATTCGCTCTGAATATCTTTAGGTGAGGGATGATATCGTGGCAAAGCGCGGGGCTTTAGTCCGCAAGGTCCCAGGTTCAAATCCTTCCAATAACTAATGGGATTTTGCTATGTAATAGAGCCATGACCATCATGGCCTAGCATAAATTAATAGGTGGAACTTTTCGGGTTCCAAAAGAAATCTAAGTTGCCTAACAGCATTGAGGAAACTAAATTAATGTGTTACAAACCTCAAATCCCAAACCTACAATTTCTTATCTGGCTCTGAAAAATCAACTTCGAATCAAGCTCGAATCCAACAAATCATTTAAAAAAATCATTAAAATCGATCCAGCCGGTCTCGAGTTACAAACTGTTGAACTCAAACGACTTTGTTATATATATATTATATAATATATCTATATATATATAAAATCCAATGTATGTTTGTATGTTTGTATATTTGTATGTTTGTCCTTTATGGACTCCAAAACCGCTCGACAGATTGTAATGAAACTTTCAGGCATTATTAAGCATTATTCAAGGATGGTTTGTGTGAAGTTTGGTGCAGATCCGTCAATAGGGCTCCGCCCCAGTGGCTCTGGAGTTTCCCATGTTAACCTTATGAGTACTCATATTTAAATGGAATTAAAGAATCTTAACAGCTGGTGCAACTAGACAATTTGATTCTGTGATGTTCAATAGCATTAAAAAGTTAATAGGTTTACCAACAGGGTGCAGCACTATATTTATTTTTAATTTATGAGAACAGTTAATTTGCAACCAAAAGGTGAGTGAGCGTAGCGAACGAACTTCAACCTGGAGGCGAGTTAGCGTAGCGAACGAGCTAACCTGAAAGCAAGTGAGCGCAGCGAACGAGCTCCAACCTAAAGGTGAGTGAGCGTAGCGAACGAACTTCAACCAGGACGTGATTGAGCCATGCGAACGAGCTCATCTTGAAAATGTACGAGCATATGACATAAAACCACAATAGGACAGGACGACGTCTGTCGGGCCAGCTAGTTAGGATATATAATAGTTTAGTTATATAATATTAGTAGGATAAGTCACAGAGTGTTTATATAACACTAAATGAACTCTCAGACTCATTAATAGGGCAGTTTCTCTCAGAACTATTATTACAAAGAAAAGGCCGCTCTGGCGCAGTACAGGTCTGATTTTGGGTGGTAGATTATAGTGCTGGCGCAGTCCGGGCCTGCTACCTGGACTCTCTGGCGCAATACGGGCGCCCCGGCCAGCAAAAGGCATAATCTTGTTTACGTGTCATCCTAACCTAATCTATCCTAACCTAACCTAACCTAACCTAACCTAACCTAACTTACTCAATTATACAGTCAAATATTACCGCACCCGACTACCTGATTCAGGTCAGTTGGCGCAATTAATGCTTACCCGTATAAAATATTTGGTCCAATCACTATGCAATCCCAAAAACAACACCAATAAACTCACTTATTTACTAATACATAACATTTATGTCTTCATGCGATAGTATATAAGCAGTCTCTACTGGCTTGGGAAAAACATGGTAAAAGGACAATGGTGTGTTAATGCAGCTTGGAAACCCCTAGTGGTAAAAACTATTGTTTAGAATAATAACAGCCTATATAGTTAGTACCACTTCCTGATGCGTGAAATAATCTCATTAACTACTGACTTTTCGCCAACATATCGTACACTTAATATAAATTTTGGAAACAATAGAAATAGAATTGTATACATACTCAATCATTGACTTTTTGTTGCTGAAGTTTTTATATTGACCAACCACCTTATTAATAGAACACAGTTAAACGAGCCTCAAGTGTGCTAAAGTCTAAAATTTTACTTTAACAGTTTTTGTTAGGGTTACAATTTATGTGACATAAAAGATCAACAAAAATACTGTTCGTTCCAAGTTGTTTTACTTTCCCACCTTATACCATGGTATATGGAGAAAGTATTGATTTCGTAGAAATTTTCGAGTTTGACATTTGAGTGAATATATATCCATTTTGGGCCCCCTGGACCCAAAAAAGTGGTTTTCGAAGTGATGTTCTAACTAATAAAACAGCTGATTTTAGTAAGTAAGAAAGCTACACAAATATTCTCACTCCATTCCTCACCTACAATGCTTACATATTCAGCTTAAAGTAAGCTCTCAAGTGTGTAGTGCTGTCTCAAAGAATTGCTAATTAAAAATAATTGATAATCAATAATTCTGGATCCGGAACAGATCAAAAACTTCAATGGGGTTTTTACACGAAGCTCTTGATATCGCTATGTTCTAGCGGTTCCAAATATAAATCAGAAAGGTATTAAACCAGATGTTCACTCGGTCTATGAACACGGCCTGGGTTCTTGGGAGGAAATGATCCTCATCCGACATGCTAGTTTATTCCACCGGAGACCTTGAGAATTATTCATTAGAATTACAAGTTAAGCCTAATAACAAACCAGAGGTCGCCAATTATTGTTGTTTGGTGTTGTCTTCTAACACGCAATGTAGTTGTAAATCATCAAATGAAGATTTACTATGAAAACTGAACAACACATGTCGGCCTACACGGTCGAAATTAATAAATGTAGTCAAACTTGATTTTTAAAAGCTCTCATGGTTTAAGAATTTTAAAATTCCACAGTAATTTCATAGCAGTTAATTGTGGAACCCTCAAGGGTGGATCTAAAGCTTAACTACCATTTGAGATTAATATATTATGCATTAAAATAAACTGATTAACAAAATAATACCGACATAGTAAACCCAAGGATGTAAATAAACTTTAAATCATTTTTCAAACAATGTTATATATTTAAAAGTTTGATTTCGTATGTACACAGTAAAAGTTGCTAAATAAACGTTTGACAGCTTTCCAAATCATTTTATTAGTTGACTAAAATCATGACTATCAACTAGTACAAATCCCATTCCAATGTCAAATTGGGTCATCAGTTTGAGAACAAAAATTGACCTAGCCATAGAGAAGTAAGATGGAATTATATTGTATGTAAACTATTGTATAGAGAAGTGTTTCTTTCTTACTTCTCTGTGACGTAGCCTGTTTCAGTATAAGCCACAATCATGTGTATTGATAAAAAATTACTGATTCCTATCTATTACGCCAACTTTTAACCAAGCTAAATTGAAAGGACGAATTATCATAAGCTATAGTATCATTTGTTACATCAAAATATCACATTACCGAAATCTAAAGGAGAAAATCTAATGTTGACAATACCGCACACTAGCCTATTTGGACAAAAAATTGACTACCGGGTCCTTATAGAGGAATTGTCAAATTCAGGATCAAAAGTAAAAGATATAGAGACTGATGCTTATGCTACTGCCACCAAGAAAGCTAAAAAATTAATTGCACTATAATCCAACCGAATTCAATAGAGGAAAGAAATAATTTCAAATTGGTAGACACAAAAATGCATTTTATGGTGAAGCATTTCGCCTCAAACAAGGAAGTAGTTCATAACCAAGGAACAAAAAGTAAAAACTTAAAATACAACTGACCAAACAGCAAACTATAATTTCAAATTCGTTCCACACTACCAATACCCTTGGATATGTTAAATGACCAAGCATCGGTTATGAGCAGTGGGAAGCTGTCTGGCCACGGGAGGTGTTTCCCCGCCCTGCCATCCAACACCCTGACCCCGTCTCTTGTACTTGCTCATGAACCTGCCTCGGGGGTCGAACTTCTTCTCCAGCTCATGGAACTGCACTGGTCGACACTCCATGGCCAACTTGAGCATGTCCACGGCAGAGCGACGCTGGGAGGCCGTGCATCTTGCACAATCATTTTGCAATGCCTCCTGTATAACATCTGCAACAGATATGTTTTCAGTGCTACCTGCAAGAGATGTGTTTTCAGAGCCTCCTATATTACATATGAAGCAAGTGTGTTTTTAGTGCCTCCTATATTACATATGAAACAGGTGTGTTTTAAGTGCTTCCTATATTACACCTGCAACAGATATGTTTTCAGTGCCTCCTATATTACATCTGAAACATGTGTTTTTAGTGCTTCCTATATTACATCTGCAACAGATAGGTTTTCAGTGCCTCCTGTATTGGGACCTTAATTACTTCATGTTAAATACATTTCTTAGTAGAAGAGGTATATTAAGAGGAAATCAGCTGTATCCCATATATAAATCCCAAAGTACCCATGAACTTGTGAGAAAACTTAAAAGTCACACCCCCATAAACCATATAATTAAAATGTTCGCCATGATGAGAAACCGTGCGCAAAACTATCCATTATTTTTTTATAAATTGCCTTTTAACGTCGTAATTCCTTTCCAAAGGGAACTTTCCATACCTAATGTTAAAAATACCTCCAAATGCGTATAAAAGGTGGGTAGTGGATACCGAATCTGATTGGACACTACAATCATCATCAGACCCAATAGACGAATCATCGAAATTGATAATTACTAACTTTTATTTTATATTTACGACTCTTATTAAAATAGCATACGTGTAAATGTGTGATTCAAGTTCTATAAGACGTATTTTCATTTACTTTCCGTAAACATAATCAAAAGTAATATGACGATTAAGAAATTACTTCAAAATAACAGTATTATGTTTGAATATGATAACAAAACAAGAAGAAAATCATATTGGGAACTAGTCAATGCAGATAAACAATATACGATATTTGAGTCTAGTGAATTATCCAGCTTGAACATTGTGCGGTGCGACGATAAATATAGGGCTAACTTGTATTTTCGACCCTCACATTTACGACCTCTAAGAATTTAAACTTTAGGCACTGGTGACTAAGTATAATATAACCTTTAAACTGTAAATGTACTGAATGTATTATTTACTGCCCCTTGCAAATAAATTAAAAAGTAATGTTACGTGAAATTTTGTCTACTCGACTGTTTTAATAGTGAAAGATGACCTAGTTTTCTCCAGATTTGACTCCAATCTGGAAATGTTTTAAAATATTTTATTTATTCTCTCGACCCATCCAGATCCTCCCTCGACCCTAGGGAACCGGTGCCTTATACTAGGGACCACGAGAGTCTATAGTTGGCGGCAGCCAATACCAAGACTGGACTAGCGCGACGTTGCAACATCACCCTTTCACTACTTTTCGACACTAATTAAAATATACTAAACAATATTTTCAAATCAGGATGAGTTATTAGATTTGGAAACACCGCACTGTCCTCATTGGCTCGAAGTCACGTGGTAAATAGGCTCCTCCCTCAACTGCAGACTCTCGTGGACCGTACTGTAGACAAATATTTGCTATGCTTGTCTGTGCTAACAGTAGGCCTAGTAAGTGTCCATTCAAGGAGAACACCGTTTATTAGGGCTCCTCACACCATCTCTTCTTCGAGACGTTCCAGTCCAGTGAGCTGAAACTCTATTGGACTGAGGCTGTTTTAGGACTTTGTCCTCTTCAGACAGGGAAAGGATAGGAGCTAGCTAAAGCTTAAAATGTTTTGCACACGTTTAAGGAGTCTGACCCTTCTTTTCCTAACCTAACAGAACACATCATTACCATAACCTTAATTTACACAGTGCAAGATATAGTGGTGGCTACTTGAAAACACCCTTTAGTATCTAACGGTAAAACTACAAACACTACCTTTCAACCTCTTCGTATCCTGGGTACAAGGGCCGCCCACAAGGCACTGGTAGTACTGGTCGAAGAGTCCTTCGTTGTCCTGGATCCTCTTGACGTCTTTGCTGATGTCCTGAAGACCGTCCTCGGGGGGCGAAGTCCCCAGACCATGGAGTCCGCTCAGGGAGATATACAGGATCACAACCGACCAAGACATTGTAAAACACTATAGTGTTTCCTTGACACACACTTGACCTTCTGATGGGCCTGGAATTTCAATATTTGGGAAATGTTGCTGTGCGTAGTCATGAAACTTGGATAAAAACGTGACCTGTGTACGCTTGTTTATCTAGTCAGCTGGTTTGTTGGAACAATCAGCTGTTTAGGTAAAATAAATGGTTTTCCGTTATACTGCAGCAAAAGCAGCCGTTTTAAATTCGTTAGTCTAAAGCCTGTGTCACACTACGCTACTTTACTAGCAGCTAGCGAAATAGCAGCTACTAAGTAGCCAATGTGACATAGGCAGTATCAGCTACTAAGAGTAGCGCGCTAGTGAAATTTTACTAGCATGGAAAGTTGAACATGTCCAACTTTCCGTGCTACTAAACTGAGCTAGTGAGTCACGTGACCAACTAGCAGCTATCAAATAGCGACTGTCGCCCAGTGTGACAGCTTCAATCAATAGCAGACTAGCGGCTACTTGCACCACGTGCTGTCTGCCTGATTTGTTCATTCTCGTTCATTTTGAATAATTTCTGAAGTAATCATGAGTGATCCGAAGTGGGCTGGGGGAGATGTGATTAATTTTTTGAACCTGTATAGAAAATATCCGTGTCTTTGGGACATAACCTCTCTTGAGCTAAACTAGTAGTAGCAGCTAGTGAATAGACGCTACCAAAATAAGTGTGACAGGAAAAGTAGCTAATATTTCAGTAGCTGCTACTAGGTAGCTGCTAGTAAGTAGCCAAGTGTGACACAGGCTTAAGGTAGCATTTTACCCCTTAGGGAAAAGCGTTTTAGCCCCTAGGGAGTAAAAATCAGTTGTGAACTCAATTGAAAATTTCGATTATAAACAATCGATGTATCGATTGTTTAATCGCTTGTAGCTTAATGTTACCTTCTTGTAAAAAGTTCTACATATTGATAGTTGAATGTACACTAACACAATCGTAATAGAAGAAACGATTGTATCACTTACTAAACGGTGATAAACAGCTGCTTGTTTGCATTAGAAAATTAATTAAAAACACGTTAGAGGTAGATTTGAGAGGTTGTTTTTGAATTGAAACTATTTTAGAATGCAAATTAGTTCGCTTAAATAATGTCGCAATGTGAACACACAAATCAAATAAATCTTTGGTTATCACAACAAAATGAGAAATGTACTTGAACTATTAAAGTCGATGGCATAACAAACTGCTAATTATCTTTTTACGACCAATAAGTCTTCAATGTGTTGAGCAATACCTTAGTTTATATTGTTTCTTTAACTGAAACTTTACTTTAGACTCACACGAAATGTTTTCATGGTTTCTTTTAGACATCAAGATAGTTTTACCGAGCTCACTTAGTATTTAGTGAAGAACCCTGTTACTAAATCGCGAATAGACAAACCATCTTCTTACAAAAAACTATACACTTCTGATGTTAATATTCTACAGACTAAAGATGCAGCTATTTGCTAAGGTAAGCCGTTTTACTTGCTTACATATCTACTTCCTTTGACTGCTGACGTAACTGGACATTCAATCTCCAGGTTAAAGTTGTAGCCAATTTCATAAAAATCATTATTGAACAGTAGTTGAATTGATCCGCCGCCATTCTGTCGAATCTGCCAAATTAATCAAGGTCCGAGACCCAAGAGGAACAGAAAACTCAATTTATTGTGAGTTGTAGCATCTTCCACGTCATATCAACTAACACATAACAAAACGTTGGGAAGAAAACAAAATGTTATACTAAGGTATACTCTTTGAGTGGCTAACTATAACTAAGTTTCATAAAAAATAGACTTAGCCAATTTGATGGATTACACCAGTAGTCAAAAGTCAATACTACTATTTTAAAAAAAACAACACTACTAACACAAAACAACAACCCACAAACTCATATCTGAAAGTATAATTCAGTCTATGATTACATTGATTGATATACCTCTTAGCCGTTGTCTAATCTGTTTAGTAATTTGTCTTCACGATCAACGCCTGTGTTTGACCTTCAAGCCATTGTTGACACATCAGCTGGTTCAAGGTCGTTGCCAATGTTCAGCTCATCAGCTGGTCAGCTGATTCAGCTAATCCAGCAAAACAACCGTATTTACTAATTTCTAATAAGTAAACAATCACCTTGGTCAATACGCCTCGTCTTTGAATTGCATTTGTGAAAGCCAATTGAATTAAACGTGCTAATGGGATGATTTAGCTATTATATTTAGCTATTTTTCGTGTTTGAAATTGTGTTCAATCGCCAAAGTCGTTTATCTGATCTTTTTCGCCCTTGAAGTTGTTTTTTCGTGCTCTAAGCACAGTTTATGATAGCTATTACCACGAAGACTGAAAGTCCATTTGCGTCAGGTTATAATCACCTTCATCAAAGGCAGGAATCTTAATTGCAAATGCAGATGTGCAAAAAGTTTGACGTCGTCTTTACGTCATAGCCTGTGTGCGCAGTGTTTTGATGCTGACAACATTGCTCTATAATCATACATTTATGGGCATTTATACACACTTTGGCGTAATAAGCCCTTCTGAGAATGAAATACATTATTTTTAAAGGAAAATTGGGCAACGTGGTACTTTCTTACATTTAACCTGTAATACAAAGATATAATACAAATATTTAAACAATACGAATTAACAAAATATCAAAAATAAATCATAAGCTATATACAGAAAATTACACACACTTTTGACTTTTATAATATCCAAAAACACATACACACGCTCGCACATCTTTATTGTACTTTTCACCTGCATCGATGCCAAAATCAAGATTCCATAGCTAAATCCGTTGAAAAAAATTAAAAGAATAAATAAGCCTATTTGATGTGATAAATACCCCCAACTATACATACGATGTACACAAAAAAAGTAAATGTTTAAAAGTAGTAGATTGAAAGTGCTTGTATACAAAAGAGTCATACTAAACGTGTATTTACTAAACTGCCAGAATTTTTGTTACTATGGAAACTAACACAGATATCAAACCAACATTTTCTCGACGGACAAAACAAAATTGCTGTTGCTGGAATTAAAAACAAAACAAGTACAAATAAATGCAAAAGCAAGACTGGCTCGGTCAACATTTCGAAGGGATCAATTTCAATCTTTGCCCGTGGACCCCCATCTCACAATGAAGCCATCTCAACCATCCTCGGTAAGATATAGGAATTACCTATATGGTAGTATTACTAACTTTGTTCCCATCTAATTTGGTAATGGTAGTGGTGATGGTAATCCTGATAAATATTTCTTAGTTTTTGATAAAATGCGTGTTCGTTCCTGCGGGACCAAGGACGAAAAGGACCTTTCCTACGTGTTTGTTCACCTAGTTTACATAATATTCCGAAACCTCTTCCACTTTTCATTGGACTACTTTAGTAAAATATAGAAGTTAAAAATATATATATTTTTTTTTATTCTATATTTCATTTTTAGGAGATTTATTGGATGCAACCAAAGATTGGCGACTCACTCAAAGGACAAAGGGAAGAACTTCTTCGTGAACCCCGTCGTTGGTCTTGAGGATCTCCAAACTCTTCTGGGACTTCACGCCGGAGAGAGCTACAACCAAAAGATAAGTACATTATGTGTTTATTTATAAATTACTTTAAAATCTTTAAAACAATGGACACCATTCAATGGACACCATTCATTGGACACCATACAATGGACACCATTCAATGGACACCATTCAATGGACACCATTCAATGGACACCATACAATGGACACCATACAATGGACACCATACAATGGACACCATACAATGGACACCATACAATGGACACCATTCAATGGACACCATACAATGGACACCATACAATGGACACCATACAATGGACACCATACAATGGACACCATACAATGGACACCATACAATGGACACCATTCAATGGATACAAAGCATACAAAGTAGTTGCGTCGTATAAAAATGCTCGTTCGTCAGTTATCCAGTTAGTTCTCATACTTTTCGACTCTGGTCGCTGGCAATGTGAAAGCTTCCAAACAGGAATTTGCTGCTACAAATCAGGAAGTTGTGCAATTGTCAGTGGCCAGGTATCCAGCATCGGGACATTCAAGATAGTGATCTTAATAGTTTAATTTATTAACACTACAATAAACATTACATGCAACATGTCTTATGTTGATTGTAAGTGTACACAGTACTAATAATTGTTTGATTTTTCCAGCCCATGGCGAGGAGATCAACCAATTCCATCGGATGAAGTGGACCAACTCCCATCAGGGACCCTGTGAACGGACACACTGGATCATCTCGAAGAGATTGTGATGAAAGCATGGTCTCAAGCAGCAAGCACGCACACGTCAGATGAGTGTCTACAGGCTGCTCCTCTGGACTTGGCAGTATTGCTTGGCTGCGATCTCTGTTCTTCACTACTAAGGCGCTGCCATGAGGAACTAGGACTTCCACTGAAACTAACAACCTGTTAAGAAGCCTCTGAAATACGCTACAAGAGAAACTACAGATGCCTACTCACCTACACACAGAGAGACACAATCTTCATTGTACGAGTTTGCCAATAAAGTATCCAATAAAATAATGTAAACAAACACAGCATAGGATTTTCTGATGTTTTTGTTGTTATCTTAGCTAGCGTATTTAAGCTTTGAAGGACTATTTTAAACAGTTCTATTTTGGAAGTAACGTATTGAAAAAATTAAAGTAGTAGTCGTTGCTTACTTAATTTGTTAGACCTCAAGGACCACCTTTCCAATTGTTTCTTCGTTTCAGTTTAGTTAGAGGTTAGAGGTACATTAACAGGTGACGTATTCACAAATTAATTATTCCATAGATAAAACGTGTTGGTTAGTCTATGATTATTCTTTCTAAGACTTGTTGGTTTTACTTCTACAAAATAGGGAGTATAAAATGCCGCTTAAGAAAACTTTAGATTCTATTCAATGTATAAACTGTGTTATTCTCTATTCAAAATGTGTCAAAAGCTACAAATATCAAATCTGTTTTGTAGGGATCTATTTACAGTATTTATGAAAGATTTTGTTTTGTGTTATGTTATAAAAACATGATTTGTAAGCTTCCAACTGTACAAACGAAAATAATTTAGGCAACAGTAAGCGGCAAGCGGCTACTACTGTAGTATAGCAGAGCGGTGCCTTCAACTAATATAAACGTCTAGTGTCACAAGTAAGTGTTGTTCTGAGCTCCACCACTATCCGCAGGCGCTTTACTGTTAGGAATAAC